GGGCGAGGGCGCGGCGGTGGCGACTCCGGCGGCAGCCTCGGCGGTCTGGGCGGGGCGGGAAGCCCGCTTTCAACCCCGCGTACCCTCTGACCCCGGAAGTGCTTGCCGCGCAGGACCCCTTGAAAAAAAGCGAGGACCCATCTTTTTTAGGTCACAAGATTGCGCCAACTTCCACATGGTATTTAAAATAAAAACCTTTTATCGGCCTGACATTGAAAAGAAGGCCCCCGATGGGCAGGAGGTGTGAGTCCGGCAAAGTTTTAAGATGAATATGCATTTTGGAAACCTTAGCGGCACTGGCAGGTATTTGTTAATATTAGTGTTGTGTAAGAGAACGATACATTATTTTCCGGGCCTGAATAAAGGGATCGGGTGCGGAGCGACACGGGCAGCCCCGGCGATAACTGCAGGCGGCAGCTGGGAAGCCGCGGGTTTAAAACATGCGCGTGAGGCGGCCAGAGCGCCTGCGCAACGATGGTGGAGACGGGAGGGGCAGCCGCGGTCTTCCGGGGGGGAGGGGCGGTGAGGCGAGGCTGTCGGAGCGGGCGCGCGCGCGCGCGGTGGGGCACGTGGGCCTCCTTCGTCCCTGGCGTCCCGGCGCTTCGCGCCACCCCCCACCCCGGCCCCAGCCCGCGGCGGCGGTCGGTGAGGAGAAAAACCGAAACCCACCCTCCGCCGCTGCCGGAGTCATGGCTGTGTTAGTTGTCTTGGGGGAGCGCTGGGAACATGGTTATACAAAGAATGGCGTCCGTTTACATAATGCTTTGTTTGCATTTTGCCAGTTTCTTTCGGTTAAACCCGCAGAAGCCCCTCCTCCTAAAGCGTAGTTTTAGCCAAGACAACCTCATCAGATATTTAATACAATGGTGTGCTTGTTGGGGGTCGCATTTATTCAGTGGGTGCCGATCAGTGCTTCTGGGGGTGTTCTGTGGTTTCCCCACGCGGTCTATGCCTCAGCTGCTGCCTGTCGGCCTTCTTGCGTGATGCGGTCGCCGCGCCCTGCTCTCCGGGGGCGGCCCCAAAAAGGGCCCCGCCATCTTGGAATGCTTTTCCTGCCGGGTGTTGTTACCGCACCTTTCTCTCGTTAAGGAAGGATGCTTAGAACGCTGGTGGGCCAGTTGTGCCTCTTGCCCCTTGCTCTTTCCTCGGGTCAAGCCCGGCAGAGGAGGCCGTGTGCGCAATGTGCACGGGTCCGTCAGGGAAGGCAGCCAACGTGGCGGCTCCTCCGCCCCCCTACTCACGAGGGCGGCCGCCATGTTTCCCGAACACAAAATGGCGACACGTGGCTGGGATTCGTCGCCAGCGAGAAATTGGGGTCGGCCCGAAAGCTCTAGAATGCGCCCCTTTACGTTCCCGCCCCCCAGCTCATCCCCTGGCCGCATGGGAATTAAAAAAAAAACAAACCCGCAGGCTCGTTCAAACCTCAGTGGATCAACTTGAATCGTTTTCCTCACTTAATTTGAAACGGAATGCGAATGGTGTAAAATGGCATGAAGCCGAGTCTCGCGCTCTTTTTAACAAGCAATTTAATTTAAGTAAATGGGAGGGGGCCAGTACCAGTGAGTAATTTAGGGTCCTCAGTACAAAGCATTTAGGGATCACTGCGTTAAGGGATGAGGTGACACGAAACGACTTTTCTGAGCCTTCCTAGCACAGGTAGTTGTGCTGGAGAGACTAAGAAATGGTTATAAAGCCTTTTTTTTTTTTTTTTTTTTTAAAGACAGTTTCCAAGAAAGGACCAGGATGCCTGTGACCTTTTCTACGGGCCAGCTTGCCCTGAGTTTACCACATTTGTTGTTCACTTTTAAGTTTAAAGGGACATTTGTTCTGTATCAGTCCCAGGTCCTTTGTTAAGCATTTTACTGCAAAGTAACTTTCATTTTTAAAATGACCCTCTGAAGTAGGTGGTTTTACCATGCTCTCTCTCTCTCAACAGATTGAGGTCCAGAGAGATGAAGTGACTAATTCAGGGTCACACAGTGAGGATGGAATCCAGACCTTCTGATTTCCTTATTGGTGAGCTCATTTCCAAATTTTTCTGTAAAGCGGCGTTTTAGAGTTTTACGTGCTATTTAAGGGGTAGGTGATCTTGCCAATGAAAGGAACCCCTTTGGTAATCTTTTCAGTGTGTGTTTGTACTTGGGGATTCCCAGTTTTTCCTAGTGTGAGCCATACCTGTATCAGGACATACTATTTATGGAGTGTCTGCCTGAGGAAAGGGAGAAGGAAGTGATTCAGCCTGCCTAAAGGCTCTAGTAGCTGTCAGTGTGCCTTGTCAGTGGCACATTTGAGTCTACCTGGCTCTGTGAGAGCAGACAGTTTCTTGGTATGATTCACTTGCTTCCTTCAACTACTGTGGCCGTCACTTCTGTGTTCACCACCCCAACCAGGTAAAAACGAACAATTTTACTCTGGTGCCAAATCTCCATTTTTTAGCAAATATTGACAGAGCATGACAGTGTTAGATAAATCATAGTCTGTGGATACAAGTTACCTGTAACAGGTTACTTGTGGGCCAAACAACAAATAATTACCTAAATAGAGCTATATTGTGTCAGAGATGGAGAACAGGGCTTTTTGCCTCCTTGTATTTATGTTCATGTTATTTGTTAGACTTCTCAAAGTGCTTTCATATTATGTAATTCTACAAACAACTTTGATAGGTTAGGTATATAATAGCAACAGTGACAATAATAGCACGAGTGCTTGGTATATAACAGACACTGTTAGAAGCTTTAATCTATGGGTTAATTCAGTGACTCACATTTTAAAAAGCAAACTACTGTAAAAAGTAAAATATACATGCTAATCATACATATATGCAAATCATACATACATGCACACCAGTTTATAACAGTTTTTTAGCAAAACTATTTATCTTTACACATCAATGTGCTCTTGTAATTTGTTCTCTTTTTTACATTTAAAGAAAGGCACATCAAAACTGAAATGATAAGAAACCCATTGTTATATTGTGACCAATATGATTAATTACACATGTAATCCTCACAAAACCATCTGAGATGGGGGTGATGCTATTTCTGTTTTTCAAAGGTATAGAGAGGATGAACAAGTCTATCCCAATTATTCATTTATTTATTCACTTTATTTTTAAAGATTTATTACGTATACAAGAACTGGGGTATAGGCCAGAGGAGCAGGTGGTAAGGGATTTCAACAGAGATAGAATGGGGAGCAGAACAGACAGGTTGGCTGAAATACAAAAGGGCGAGACAGGAGAGGTCTGCCCTGCTATGTGGGTTACCTCCCTGGCCTGGAATTGAACTTGTGCTGCAGTGGCTGCACACAACTTCTTAGTGCTGCACTTTAACCTGTTGTGCCACTAGGGAGGGCCCTATCCCAGTTGTTTAGTGTTAAAACAAGGATTTAAATCGAGGCAGTTTGAATTGAGAGATTAATTTACCATTGTTTAATTACTGATCTAGATGTAGTCTTTGTAAAGGGTCTTGTCTTAAAGGGAGACAGTTGGCTAGGAAATTAACAATACTAGTAAATATTAAAAGGGAAACAATAAAAGGACAAAGCTAGGCATAATCAAGAATTATCCAGGGCTTCCCTGGTGGCACAGGGCTTCCCTACTGGCACAGGAGTTAAAAGTATCAGCACTATCAAGCTACGCCAGCCACTGCAGCATTAGTTCAATCCCCAGCCAAGGGAGCTGACCCAGATGATGCAGCAGATGTCTCCTATCTTGCCCGCTGATGACCAGTAGATATGCCTGTTCTGCTCCCCAATCCATTGCTGGTGAATTCTCTTAACTCCTCTTGGCCCTTGCTCCTCTGGCCTACACCCCAGTTCCTCTATGCATACAAGTAAAGTAAAAATAAATCTTTTAGAAAAGAATTACTCGACCCTCCCTGCTGGCACAACAGGTTAAAACACAGTACTTTGAAGCTCTCTGCAGTCTCTGCAGCACGAGTTTGATCCCTAGCCAGGGAGGTGACCCACGTGGCATGGCAGACCTCTCTTGACCTACCTACTGTTCCCCTCAACACTGTATTTCAGTCGATCTGCCTGTTCTGCTCCCTACTCTGTCTCTGGTGATTCCTTTCACTCCCTGACACCTCTGGCCTATACCCCAGTTCTTGCATGCATAAATAAATCTTTAAAAAAAGAGAATTACTAAAATTCATAGCATTCTACTCCTCTAAATCTGTCACCTATTTATTTTACGTAAATAAAATTTTATCATCTTTCTACTCATGATTGTCCCTATTTTAAGCTTTTTCTTCCAGGAATATTTTAATTTCTTCTTACATTCTTCTAGGACTCTTCTCATCTCTGAAGCCTTTCCTAATTCTGAGCCTTCCTTTTGGCAGTCTCATTTGGTCATTGATTAAATTATTGGTATTGATAACGTGTTGTATAGACAATAGGTGCCTTGGGTGGCCCTGTGATCTGGCAAATAAGATTCTGCTCTTGGGAATCCAAGGCTTTGTCTCTTAACTCCAGCTCTGCCATTAACTAGCTTTCAGATGTCTACAACCCAGTATTTTTATCTGGACCTCAGTTTTCCCATCTGTAAAATAGGAAAACAAGAGATGAAATGATCTCTAAAGACCCTTATAAATTTGCCCACAGAGAAATGATATATAATGATCTTGATTATTCATCCCAGCGGAGGAGGATTATGTAAATATTTTACTCACTTTTGGCAAATTCTCCACTCCCTTCCTCAGAATTGCACTATCTTGTGGATACGTGAGTGAACTCCTCACCACCCATTTTACAGATGAAGTGACTGAGATGTGAAGCAACTGACTAAATAGACTCTGCCCCACCCCTGGAGCCTCACACATGACTCTTCTCCTCCTACTCAAGTGATCTCAGGTTGGTTAAGAGGTTTAATGAGGTTGGGAAGGTGAGTCAGGCTTAGACTTTGGAAATTGGACCACAGATATATACTTTATTCAGGGGAAGGATTTTTTTCCCTCTTACTTCATGTTAGCATGTTATATGAAACCTTTCAAAGTCATTCATATTACTTATTTAATCACCACAAACAGCTTTGCCAGGAAGATATTATTATGCCCATTTTATGGAAGAACCATCTTTGGATCAGACAAATGAGCTGACTTGCCCAGTGTTACACAGCTTGTTAGGGCCTGAACTTGGCCTCTTAACTCCTAGTTCTGGATTATTCCTTACCTTGATTTCTGATGCTTGTGGAACTGACTTTGACATGTGGAATAACTTTATCTTAAACTCAGTAACCTTTCTAGGGCCTTCCTGGTGGCACAGGGAGTTAAGTCCTGGCACTGTGAAGCTATTGGTAGCCACTGCAGCATGTGTTTGATGCCTCGCCAGGGAGGTGACCCACATGGTGCAGCAGACCTCTCCTGTCTTGCTGGCTGCTTCCCGCCGCAGTGAACTTTGTCTATCTTCCTGTTGTGCTCTCCACTCTCTCTGGTGAATCCTCTTACTCCCCATACCTCTGGCCAACACACCAGTTCTTGTATATTTAAATAAATAAATCTTTAAAAAATTAAAATCCTTTCCATATAGGATTTTGTTTTGTTTTGTTTTTTTTTTTGTTTTTTAAAGATTTATTTATTTATTCATATGGAACTGGGGTACAGGCCAGAGATGCAGAGGGTGAGAGGATTCACTAGAGACAGAGCGGGGAGCAGAACAGGCAGATCAACGAAGTACACTGCTGAGGGGAGCAGCGGGCGGGTCAGGCGAGGTCTGCCGCACCATGTGGTCACCTCCGGTGCAGGCGGGAATCAAACTCATGCGGAAGTGGCTTAAGCTTCTTAGTGCAGTGCTTTAACCCGCTGCGCCACCAGGGAGGGCCCCAGGATTTTTTTTTTTAATGCACACAAGAGCTAGGTTGTAGGTCAGAGGTGGGGAGGGCAGTGAGAGAATTCATCAGAGACAGAGTGAGGAGCAGAATAGGAGGACTGACTGAAATGCACTGCTGAGAGTAGCAGTGGGCAAGATAGGAGAGGTCTGCTGTGCCATGTGGGTCCGCTCCCTGGAGGATCGAACTTACCCTGCAGTGACTGTCGGTAGCTTTATAGTGCCTTGTACTACTAGTGAAGCCTCTCCATATAGTTTTATTTTTCTACTCCAGAACATCTAATCCATTTATATTAGGTTCCTGTTTCTTTTGGTTTAAGAGAATTTCTTCCCTTTTGGTTCTGGGTTTGGGAGTGGTAGGAATGATTTTTCAGGGATATTCAAAGTTCTCTGAGAGTAGGGACCACATTTCTTTTCTTTTCTTTTTTTTTGCAGGCCAGAGGTACATGGGTGGTAAGAGCATTCACCAGAGACAAAGTGGGGAGCAGAACAGACAGACTGATGAAATATACTGCTGAGGGGAGCAGCGGGCAGGTCAGGAGAGGTCTGCCTTGCCATGTGGGTCACCTCCGGGGCAGGGGATTGATGAAGCAACTGAAGCCAGTTTCCCAGCACTGTGCTTTAACCCATTGTGCCACTGGGAAGGGCCCCCACATTTCTTTTTTTAAACATACTTTCATCAGCAAGAATTCTGCAGCTTTTTGAATTTCCAACATGTAGCCTTTTTTTCTAAAAACATGGTTTCCGCTTTTCTTCCTCTTTCAGATTTAGCTTCCTATTTCTTTATTTAAAATTATAGTAAGGGCCCTCCCTGGTGGCACAGTGGGTTAAAGCACAGAGCTTTGAAGCTATTGCAGCCACTGCAGCATGAGTTAGATCCCCAGCCAGGATAGGTAACCCACATGGCACGGCAGGCCTCTCCTGACCCGCCTGCTGCTCCCCTCAGCAGTGTACTTAGTGGATCTTCCTGTTCTGCTCCCCACTGTGTCTCTGATGAATCCTCTCACCCCTCGCATCTCTGGCCTTACCCCAGTTATGTGTGCATAAATAAATGTCTTTATAAAATAAAATTATAGTAAGTTGATGGAAACTTTTCTCAGTAACTTTCCAGGCTACCCTAAGTCATATTATCCACTTTTGTGGTTAGTAACAATTTGACCTTATGTGCTAGTAATCCTGCACTTCTGTTACAGAGTCACTAGTTGGTTTCCTTAGAAGCACAAGACATTTATTGGTATGCTTTATATAAGTGACCAGGAGTTATAGCAATGTCCTTAGTCTGAATTCTCCCACGTGGTCAAGGCAGTACGGTAAGGATGAGGGAGTGTAGAGAACAGAATACAAAGTGTGGACAGTGAGAAAGAGAAAAAAGGTCAGACAAAGAAAGAGAAAAGAATAGGCAGAGAGGAGAAACAGGACCACTGAAGGGAAGACAAATAGATGAATGCAGAGATTTGGGAAGGCAAAGACATCAGTTCAGAGATCTGGTAGCCCCTTCTGTGATGTGGGAAGGATAGGCCACTGCTGTGTCAAGGAAGAGCACCTGGTATGACTTCCTGAGCTGATTTTGGGCAGTACCTCTTTTTATCTTCTGTTTCCAGTATCATGTAGAAGAGATTTCTTTGTTTCTGCTGTCAGTTCTGATTAAATACCAGTAAAATAATATTAGTTCAGTTGATTTATTGAGGAAAATGTGCTGCAGAAATTATATAAGATATTCCTTGTCAGGCTTCATCTTGTTTATTTGCTCAACAAGTAATTAATTATTGTTTGATATGTTATAGACTTTAGAATGTAAAAGTAGGCAGTAGCTACCTAGGATGCTGACCAATTCATCAGTTCATCAGTTGTTTAATAAAGCCAATTTTCTTTTTTTTAAGATTTTATTTATTTATGCATACAGAACTGGGGTACAGGCCAGAAGTGCAGGAGTGTTGAGAAGATTCACCAGAGGCAGAACAGGGAGTAGAACAGGCAGATCAAGGAAGTACATTGTTTAGGGGAGAGGTGGGCAGGTCCAGTCTGTTATGCCATGTGGGTCAGCTCCCTGGCTGGAGATCGAACTCAGGTGAAGAGGCTGCAGCAAGCTTAATGGTGCTGCACTTTTAACCTGTTGTGCCACCAGGGAGGGCCCATAGCCAGTTTTCTTTAAAAAATATAAATAAGGGCCCTCCCTGGTGGCGCAGCGGGTTAAAGCACAGCACTAAGAAGCCAAAGCCACTTCTGCATGAGTTCAATCCCCGC